TGCACAAACAAAAGTGAATGTACTGTCATTACTCTTACTTTGCATGAATAATCAATCAGGCAGGGGACAGGCATTCTGATGAAAACAACTTTCGTAGCCCAGTGAATTAAATTGTAGCGGTAAATAATTCTCGAATATTTTTGACCATAGGAATAGATTATGTCTAAGAGAAGAATTACATCGTGACCATGCGAATCATCAGTGAAGATTGGATGCTGACCCTTAGAGTTCAATTCGACTTGTTTGGCTGAAGGCTTCCCGTCAAGCATCCCCGCCATTTGGTACTCCGTCGTGTCACTTTCGTGCACGATAACTAGCTAGCTTAGCTTCCGCTTCAATCTGAGATTTGATTCCGAAATATATCTTGTAATTTGGACAATCAATTGTGGTGTTTTGTTTTGCCTATTGGGTACACGAGAATCAAATAAGATAGAGGTTGTTGGCATAAGATCTTGCGTTAATATACTCACTACTGTTCGCGAACGTCTATACCGTCAACCTCTAAACAACTGACCACCGACGTCAAATAGATTCCCTGACGTTTCCCAGGGTGGCGCGTCCTTCAGAACTTTCCTTCTGAAGAGAACTTTATTAGTTACCTCTGGATTCGAGGATGAACACTGGTAAGACTCATAATGTTGGCTGAAAGTACGAAGGGCATGTGTCAACAGATGGATCTCTTCTGTCTATATGTACTAACGGTTGAGCCTTAGATGAGTCAGGGAATAAACAGTACTATGAGAATTCATATACCTACCTGGGAAGCATCGTTTCAACTACAGGCGGAACTGACGAGGATATCAAAGCAAGAATCGGTAAAGCAAGACAAGCTTTCATTACTCTCAAGTCTGTGTGGAGGTCAACAGCACTTAGCACGAGGATGAAAATAAGATTCGGATTTTCAGCTCCAATGTGAAGTCAGTCAGTGCTACTATACGGATCAGAGACTTGGCCAGCGCGTCATAAAGAGCATCTCAAACAAATTTCAGACCTTCATTAACAGTTGTCTTCGCTCAATACTACGCAAGATCAGATGGCTGGCCAGAAAAGATCAGCAACATGGATCTCTGGTAATGAGCGAACCAAGCAGGAACCGATTGTGAAACAAATAGGCAGGAAGAAATGGAGATGGATTGGCCATACTCTGAGGAAACCACCAAGTGACATCACCAGACAAGCTCGAGTGGAACCAGGCCGAAAGGGAAGCGGCGAGTTGGTCGTCAGTGCGAGGGTGACTTGGAGGAGGTCATGTGAAGAGGAGATAAAAGCATGTGGGCAGACTTGGAGCGGGTTGAAAAAGTTGGCAGAAAACCGAAGGCAATGGAGATGCGCAGCTGAAGCCCTATGTTCCTCTAGGAATTAAAGGATATAATAATAATTATGATGGTAATAATAATGAGAATTCATAATAAACACATCAAGTGTAGTAGTCAACAGTGAAGAAAAATTAAATCACCTACGTCAGCCACTCGCCAGGGGGCAAATGTAAAGTATAAATCCAGATGGATTGTTCTAAGAGATGGACGCTGAGGAATTGAAAAACATTACTTTGCAAAAGACAAAGTAGAATGTATTGAGTATAGCACGTCTAAAGTTAACTGGAAGTGTTTTTAGAACACGATTTTATTCCACATCTTATTAATGACTGTTTGATTATCAAGCAACGTCAGCTCTCGTTGGTAACCCGTGAACGTACAGGCCAGTTACCATTATTATATAAGTGTTTCCAGTGCTCCCCAGGATTTTGAAAATATACACTAAACAAACAGATTAATGCACACATATATGAATACTATCAGTCCTTTTAAATACGGGGTCAGTTTGAGAATCCCCACCTAATACACGTACAACCGAAATATGGAAAACTTGCGGAAATGGCTGCAGTCCACCCAAAATATGGTACGAAAACTCCACAATGTGACCAAAAACGATGCGAGCTGCGCATGAGAAAGTGAATATGTATTCACAAGTAGGTAAACTAGTAGGTTGCATAAGCAAAAGGCAGTAAAAATAAGCATGATTTGACAAAAACAGAGTCATCAAATGACATAAATGTCGTTCCTATATCTGCTAGCAGTTGTTTAAATGAAACAAAATCAATTTCTGAGACACAAAACTGATATATTCTAGGTCGCAGATGTATTATCGCGTCCACTGTTTATTCTTTTTCTTTCTGCCATCTGTCATTGTAGTTGCCAGTATTTTAATGCTTTGCATATGCTCATTTATTTAGATCAATTTTCTTCACCTGGAAACTACTTCATTGACAGCTTCCGCATATGTGGAATATATATTTGTGATATTCAAATTAGTAATTCATTGCTACGTGAGTTGAGTAATTAAATACTTTTGTATGTATAAGGAACAATGGCTAGTTGTTAAGCATATGAGATAATCAGTGAAATAGCATTTCAACGCATTTATTCGAATGATTCTGAACAACCCAGCAACAGGACCTTCACACACAATCGAATAAACGGATGTAAACAGTGACCATCTCAAATACAATGAATTAGTCTGTAGAAATGGCCGAATTATACACGACATATCATCAGCAATATCAGAAACAATACCTCATCCATTTCATTCACACATCCATTTCCATACTGTCAAATATGTTCACAGGCACACCTTAAAGTGAGGCTACTACATAATCAAACCTCCATTGATTGCTTCTTTGTCAAAATTTCTGACCTGAAGTTTTTTGATCATACGTTCACTGCTTTATATATATGTATTGGTAAGACCTATAATGCGCATAATATGATATAGAACTAGCTGTAATATATTTGTTTGAACTACTTCCATTGATTCATATCCTTTCTAAACGTTGATTGAGCACTAACCATCAGTAAGCTGAGATGCACTCTAGAGTTTGCATAAGACGTAATGTTTAGTAGGATCGGAGCTTAATTCTAGGAACCAAATAGCAGGAAAGTAGATATCCTGCGCATATTTTGCATCTCCAGCCAGTGATTTCGCCTAGGTGGATGGTTTTGAGCCATTGATTCTTATAACCATGAGGAGCCGAGCCAGCTAGTCCACATGTGATTCAGACCAACAATCAAATACTTAATAGACTAAGGACAAGTTTTGATGTGATCCTATGTAAACTAATACCCCGTCGTAGAGTATTGTTTGAAGACTGAGTACGACAAGAGTCAGAGTCTGTGAAGTGAAATTAGTTTGTGGTGATTAGTGCTTTAATTTAAATCTCACAAGGATGTGCATAATTGTTGACTGTGGTTTACAGTACAAAGACAATCACTAGTTGTGCATTATGCGGTCAACAATCAATTACAGATTTTTCATAGTCTGCTTTTATTTGGAGGTAGATGATATGAATCACTATAACAAGTACCTGGTATCTTCCGAAACAATTCTCTTTATATATCGCTAGGCCAGGAGAAGTTAGTATGGGAGTGAAAGTAACAATTTTGCTGTTCAAAAGTGATGGTACATTTCCTGATTTCCGCTGCTGAAAAGCTCATATTACAGTGAAAAATTAAATTGCTTGTCTCATTGATGATGGTGCTGAATTGGCAATTGTAATATGTTTCTTACAGCCTTACAACATGTTGATACGTTTCTGTATTATATTTATAGTTCATTATTCGATTCTATTTTAGATGAAAACATTAATGCTTTGCCCAAGTGAGGCACTGTGATTGATTTTGTTCTCGATTATCATATCAGGGAAACTTGCAACTTACCATGACTGTATGGAAATTTACCCACTGTCACCTTTGATTCTAGCAAAAGAAAAATAGACATGTATTGAACTGGACACCTGAAGATGTTGTCAAATGGTTGCATAAGTATGCCAGCCCAGTTGGTCCTAAGTATTCGGATCTATTTGAAGCAAACAAGATTAATGGTAAGCAACCCAGTGATTTGCTGATTTTATTTCTAAGGTATGTGTTTGCGCCTAATGACGGACGAGTGGCTGCTGAGACTAGGAATATCCGACCAAAGTGATAGGTATCTTTCATATTCGTCAAATGCATTACTAATTATTTTTTACTTTTTGCTAGATCAGCACTCATGAGTCATATATACCGTATGCGTTTAAAGTATGATTCTTCTGACCTGAAGTCTGCTGGATTTTCCAGGTTTGTTTTATTTGAGCACCACTTAGTCTATGCATAATTACTGAAACAAGGACTTTAAATAATATATTAGTAAAGGTTGTTCCTTTGTGGCTATCACGGAAAAACTTGTCTTTCCATTAACTGGGATAATCAGTGATTTACATCTTTTTTACTGGAACTATTTCTAACATCTTATTTAGCCCAGACAACAGTTTGTCACCGCCGTCCTTGAACTACTCAATGGTCAATCCATCGTGTCGCTCTGCTAGACATCATTTCAGATTACAGATAGCTGTCGTAGACTCTGATACATTCGGAGGACCAATGACGACATCGCATTTATGAAGGAGTTGGATGTTGACAAATCCTGCATAGCCACAGGGCGAGTAAATTTCTCCTTAAAGTCTTCCCGCAAACAACACAGGTTTCTATTCTGGGAAGTAATTAGGAACCAAGTTATCTAGGAGATTTCCTCGCTTATCATTTATCTTTTGCAACATGTTTTCCTAATTGGCCTAAATAGTTGTCTGGATTTACCTATCGCCGTGTAGTAGCTATTTGGAATAGTATTTCGCAAAGACCGAATCATAGGAAACCAAACAACAACGCAGATGGGGCAGAATTCATGAATTTTTATTAGGCACAATTGGTTGTAATTTATATAATAAATATTAACAAACGACAGTAATCATTTAGACAATACTGTAATAGAAATTGTCAGTCACCGTCTCACTGGATTACAATATTCAGAAGAGAAGAAATGACCACTTATTCACCAAACCAAACGCTATCGATGATCAGTTTTACATCGCACAGAAAATTAATGCAAATGAAAGGTAGAAAAATAATCAGCTTTTCAGTTTTGATACAATAAGTAATCATACACCGGAGTTTGGAAGACAGATAAATCTATATGTTTCCATTACTTTCAGCTTTGGTAGACATCCAATTTTCGACTTCTTCTACAGTTCTAGGAACATCTGTTAGAAGCTCATGACCGGTTTCTGTTACAACGATGTTATCTTCAATTCTCACCTAATCAATAAATAAAGGAAAGAGAGAAAGTATAAATACGTAGATTGTTTCTCAGGGTGATTGTGTTCGTTCACTTTGGCTTCATGTTGGCACCAATAGGTAATGCGAAATTAAAGAGTAAAATAGAGTCGCAAAGTGTTGTAAGAAGAAAAGAATGGAATTATCGTGATATAAGATAATCCAGTCAGCACAAAAACAAAGCATTGATGCATTTGGGCCATTGTGTCATATCACCTGAAGTCTCAAGCACCTGGTTCTTGTAGTTACGTGGAATCCGAGCTAGTTAGTCTACTTGTGCCAAAAATGAAACTTTAGGTGAGCTCGGGTTTCAAGGGAGACTTAGCCTGTGATATCCCTAAGAGGAGAAATTCATCATCTTTGAGAAGAACATTCTTCACAGCAACGTCAAGAGTAGTGTTATCTAGTTTCCCATTGGTCTGCAGAAGGCTGAAGGAAAAGATCTTGTACCTCACCACTTCTCTGTGCATATATCAGTTGATTTGTTCTTGTAGAGTCAGTTATATTTGTCGTTCGGTGTGTATCCTGTCTGAGAGGGTCCAAGAGCGCTATCCCGAATGGTTGGTGAAAGATAGTATTGGCTCTATAAGGAGTGTGATAATCGAACGCCTTGTTAATACTGGTCACACCAACTCAACAAACGCCTCCTTAAGAGCTATCTAAAAAGTGATGGACGACATGCCGAAGCAACGCGCTCTCACCTCATTTGCATTGTTGAAGCTCTAACTATACAGATAGAGAAGAAGGGAGCTCTGCATACAAAAAAATCATCCAACCACTTCTACTATCATTGTAACAACCTTGTTGATTTTTGTTTGTTTGTTTCTTCAAATCCGTACAGTTCTTGTATTTTTCTGCAACTCTTAGGTAATTTCATATTCTCCTTCGTTTCTATGTGCATCCGTTAAACAACTCATTCGTTAAATTATCTATCCTATTACGTAGCTCCAATACGCTTATTCAACTCATTTTATGCATTGACTGACTGACTATGATTATGACAACTTTTGTTACCAGTCTCTCATGAAAAATTGTATGAGTGCGATTGTACAGCTGAAGAATATGGATTCTTCGAAAACAGCCGGCTCCCGAACTACCTTTCTTCAATGTTTACATTCAGTTACACGTTTCAACAACACTTAGTGACCTCATGAAGTAGTGTAATCTTTTGATCTGACCAACTTCATAAGCACTGTCATACGGTATACTTGGACCCTAGTGAGTAGTAAGGTAATATTACCAATGTCATGAGTGGCGTGATTCGAAAAAACCCAGGCGAATCGATGATATTCATGCGGTAGTCTTATCAGTCAGGTAGTTTTCGAGGGAGTGAATGGAACTAATGTCACTTAAACTATACCTTTATAGGGACACATTTCAATAATTCATGCCAAATGTCTAAGAAATACAACGAGAAATTCATTATCTTTGCAATATTGTGTTTTGGGAGGAAATTCCATAGTGTACAGATTCTACAAGTGAGTTCGTTTTCCCACGATGACAATTGAACTTTAACAGAATACTCAATTTCAGTTGTATAGGTAAAGGTGAAAGGTGTTCTCTCCCAAAAATCTGAGATTGCAAATATATACGCATATAAAGTGGTCTTGTTTAAAACGTTTTCGTAGCAGGAATACCGATTCTTTTCTTCCGGTTTGTAATCATGTTAGGTGGAAAAATATTAAATATAAATAATATTACCCACTTCCTATAACATAAGGCATAATTATTGTCATTGGTCAGTCGCATAGTGTACGTTGAATAAACCAAATAAATGTTACTTGAGAAGAGCAACAGTTAGAAATGTTTGGAGAAACGATAATCCCACAAATCTTTCGAAATATCTTATTTACTGGAAAGTAGAATTAGATAAGAAGATTGAAGACACAACAATATGGTCAATCCACAAACTTAGTTTAAAAATGTCGGAATCAATACTTACCCCACCAAATTTTCTGAATCTTTCAATTTGACTACGATCAATATATTTACTAAGTGTAATTGACGATAAGGCTTGATTTAATAGTCTGTCAATGAAGTAACACCCTGGCTCAACTGTCAACACCATATTGGTTTGCAGGACACGAGCAGTACGTAGATTTTGTAGACCAGGAAGTGCTATTCGAGGCGGGGCATCCTTAAATAGAAACACAGCGAGGAATAAGAAATTCAAATGGTTGATGTGATCTTGAGCAATAAAATTAAAAACTTAACATCATGTGTAAGTATGAGCTAGTTGAACTTTACGCACCTAATACTGATACATCCAAAGTGAAATTGGATATCCACAGTAATAGTAGTTCCTTGGATTAATGTAAACCGCTAACTCATGAAGTAGCACTGAAGATGAATCCTGGAATGAAGTAAAAATATTTTGCCAATAAAATTCGAATCTTGGAAAGCAAGGAAACCACAAATCCGAACTTTGAATTGGCAACAATCATCACTATATCTAAGTAAGTCTTCATGATTGTCTTCTGTGTACTGTGTTTAAAGGCGTTAAGGCATTCCACAACAGGTTTAAATGCCAGAATCACTCACCCACTTATCCATGTTTTTGGCAGCCAGTTAATATGATTAGCGATTAAGCAAACTAACCAATCGGATATCATTAAGAATTTAGAGAAATTTCTACGACAGACTTTTATCACCAAAATGAGTAAGGTGAGGATACGCAGAAATTGAGCTACTGAGCTCTATTAACATTCTACATAAAATTATGCGATATATTTTTGTCAACCTACAGCCTAATGATGTATACGAATAATTATAGAACACGATTCAAGCGAATACGTATTTCCGGTTAATTCTCATTAGGCTTTACATTTACATAATAAAATATTAGTCATAGGCATTTGAATTAATTTGGTCAATCAAATATAGGATCAGAGTTCAGGGATGTGAATTAATGGATAACAATAAGTTTGATAAGATTTCAGTTATAAGTTGAATGAAGCACTTGTGATTACTGTCACTACCATTATGTTCACTTTATGTACAGTGCATGTATTTCTCTGGAGTCATGAACCGATTTCATTCTTTATATACGGTAAGAAATACCGCGATTTACTTAGTGTGTATATACTTAGATATCCTCCTCCGTCGTCAACAGACTTATATCCATGCTTTTATAGTGAGTGATACTCTTCTTTAAAGATACCTACATAGTTTTGCACAGTTAACAATCACATAGATGTTGCGTAATACTGTGAGCTTATTGGTTTTTATATAATATTCATGGGGCGAAGTGGAAAAGTTTGGCAATTTAAAAATATATACAATAATCTTACATCTGTATATCCACCGACATCGTGTACATCACAACCAAGTAAGTGACCTAAACCGTGAGGCATAAATATGGCTCCCAGTCTCGCTTTCATCATTTCATTCACATCACCTAGAAGAATGCCACCTTCTTTCAGATGCGTGAGAATTTCTCGCTCAGCTAGTTGATGAAGTTTAACCCAATCTGCACCTGGTCTAATTTCATTTAGCACAGCACTATTTTATCAAGGAAAAAAGAAAGAGTACACAAAAACAAAGTTATAAGAAAGAGGATATACAAAAGAAGTGTTTAGTTTTCTACGATATTACTATTGATGAAATGATTCTTTCAAATAAGTAGAATAGTAGGTGATGGACAATACATGAATCAAACGAACAAACAAGGGAGAAAAATACAAATGTGAAATACCGTGAAGCTCGTAAAACAGCATTGTAGATCAACTTTTGATCATCTGTGAAACGACCATTCACGGGAAATGAACACGTAATATCCGATGAATAACAATAATATTCACCGCCCATATCAAATAAGCACATTTCACCGTCTAGAATTTGATGTTCATTTGGTGCACCTGCGTGTCCATAGTGAAGTACAGCGCAATCACAACCTCTGAATAGATAAAAATATGTAAATACACAACACAATTAGTAAATTTGTATTTCTACGTTGAACTTCAATCTAACTGCATAAATTCATTTCCAGTTTTGTTCCAAGTTATCAAGGGGATTAATCTTATAAATTCATTCCATCGACACATTAATAAACCAGTTAAATAGTTACCAGAAACATTAGAGCACCATGTTTCATTGAAAGGTAGACAGATAAGTCCAATGTTAATTTTATTTTAATGATCTTCAAGTATAGAGTAATTGAGTTAAGCTTAGCGAAAATGTCCGCAGATAATAAGTAATGTATGTATAAATATGTATTATCGAGATTAACTTGAGGTCACGACTCTGAAAGTCACTAGACAATTATTCATAACATCATTGGACATACAAGTCGACCAAACTACACTTCTTTTCATCCTTTTGATTAATAGTCAACAGATTTCAAGCACTGAACCCGTCTCTTGATACGATCACTCCTTAGCTTCCCTCTGACCTATTGTTGCTTCGAAAAACGCGTCACATTGTGGAATATAACAACTCAGAATGGATGACAAATGCCTGACTTCACTTACTGCAGGTTCATAACTCCAATGACCAAGTGGTACTCTACAACTTGACTTGACAGTGTTACTTCCATCTTATGAAAGTAATCATTACAATGAAACTTTGAATTAAACGGTTAGATCTCACAAGTGCAGAGTGAAAAAGCACACTGTTGTCAAACAGAAAAGTCTAGACTTCTAGTTGAGAACTCGTTTTCTCACTACATAGAAGGGATAAAGATATCGTTTAGCAGCAATTGTGTGAAATTAGCTAAGTGGAAAACTTGAGAAAGTTCACTCGTCAAGAAATTTCAGCTAGATAAGAAAACAGAAAATCAACTACTTCGGAAACAATTTACAAAATGGTGAGTAACTTGTACTACTCATTTGAAAAACAGTAGTAAGAGTGAGTTAGAATTCGTTATTTGTTAATTCCACTAAGGTGGCTGATGGAAACCCAAAAAGTTCAGATCACAATATGTGACTGCCTTGAAACCGTTAACGGCATCAAGATAGGGCTCCATATTGAAGTATTGTACATACTACCGTGATTGATATGAATTTTCCCCCCAAAAAAATAGAATTGAATTTCTTACGTGGCAGCGATACACGTGTAGCTCATATGACGCATTCCGCCATAGAAATAGCAGTAATGCCGAAAAATACTTTCTGCTTGATATTGATACATTCCAGGTTTGACGGAGCGCATTAAATGGCGATGTGCAGCACTGCTAATGCGATTTGTGTAGCGAATAATCTCCAACTCCATTTCAGTTTTGATAAGACGACTGGAGGATAAAAAGTTGAGAAAGAGTTAGGGAAATTACGACTGCATTGTATGAGAATAACGTTTTGAACAAGAATTTCACTCGTAATAGTAATGGCGTTCAGTTACAACTGCAAATGATTGAGAACTGTGCCACGAGGAAGTGGGCGGCAATGATATTGGCGAATATCATTTGAATGCTAGAGAAAGGATACACTGAGCTGAGGTTTACGACATCAATAAAATGTACCTCAGACCAACAAACTTCAGCTGTCTAGACAATCATTATGATTTGTATCCGACAGCTGATAAGCGGATCGATCACTGCATGAATTACAACCACACACAATAAGGAAATAAGTATAATAGCACCGTTAGGAGGTTAACGAAGGCATTATGTTGTGCTATAAATTAGTGCTGCTAATAGACTTATGGACATGGAGGATTTCACTAAGGAAGTTAGAAAACTCTGATTCCAAACCAATTATGTGCATGTGCTTTAGTGTGCAAAGGGAACAAATCATATATGAAGGATTTTCGGCGACTGGAAATCATGGGAGTGCAACTCCACTGCCTCGTGAACCATTTGAGCTGTATTTCAGTCGCCACATGAACGTAGAGCGAGAATTCAGTGGGGATGCCAACTAGACTATACACCGTCGTAACTTATCACATCTGCTACTTCTCCCACCGTATATTAATTCATACAATTTCATTATTGTTACATTGTCATTCCACAACGAGGGCTGTTTTATTCTAACCACCTGCACCGCAGTAATCTTCATTTCCGTCACCTATTCATTGGTATTTCAAATTTCAGTCTCTCTGTACAGTTTTGAGATACTAAATAGGTAGTTTCAGAAAACTTGTTTCTAGGACAATATTTAACCGTACCTATGTAAGAAGGGAAAATTACTACATTTTCCGCTGTGAATTCGGAATGATGATGATAGACAGTGTAGGAGGAAAATGACTTTGGGTCACAAGTTAGTCTGATCACTTGGTAATTATTCTAACATTTTCACTTTCTCCCTGGTGACAATCTGAATTATCACTTTAAGGTGAAATACTCTCTGAGAATATTATTTACTGATATCTGTAAAGTTTATGTGCGTGAGGTAACAGGTCTAATGGTTTTTTTTGTTTTTATTATTATTATTGCAGTTATCACAAAAAATTGTAGTAACTTTAAGTGTGTATATCTACACTTAGAATTTAAATTTTACAACAACGGCAAGAAACAAGCGTAACATAGGGAACAGAGTCCACTGCTTAGAAATAAGTGTCGTATCATTACCCCCACCACGTCTTTTTTGCCATATGTTTACATTAATTAGCTATTAAATTCATGATATTAATATTTTAATATTGAGCATGAATAAAATATTGAACCACGGAGCAGTTGTTCTCTTCTTTCTAAATACGGGTTGATTCTATCTCAAGGTTCAATTTTACTAAAATCAGGCGTTACTAGTACATTTATAAAAACACAAAATAACAGAATGACGACATGAAAATTTGAATTAACGAAATTAAATTAAACAACTAGTAGTCTTTATTCTAATCCAGTTTGATGCAAATCTGAAATCTTAACCATCTTCCTTTAGATCTTTGGTGTAAAGTGACTTCACAAAGATAAACGTCTGTACCAACATCCAACCATAAAATAGGTGAGTATCTAAGATCAGTCAAGGTGTTTATTTATCTCAGTAGATGAATGAGTAATTAACAAGATCCCGACAGAAATCCTAAATCTTGATGTGGTGATTAGTTTAGCATTGACGAGGTATGTCCGTGTATTTGTAGCCGGGTTGTTTGAGTGCAGGAGGTGTTTCTAGTGCCTCTGTGCCGACCCACTGTCATACATAGATGTTCTTGGGGTACTGGAGCGTATTGCTCTGGTCTTACCCGTTTGCGCACATTCCATGTTCACCGTTAGTTATAGATAACTGTGATCGTGTTGACAAACCGTGTGTGAAACATGTCTATCGTATTCATGGCGTCGGTGGCACAGCGGTTAGGACGCTCGCCGATCATGCACATGGGCCGGAGTTCGATCTCCGGCAACGCACTCCTTCACCTCAGTAAGCCATTAATAAGACTGGTAAAGAGGAAAGGTTGGGCATGAGGCTAGCAACCCCATCATGTAAAATTAAACATTGCTGCAGAAACTTCAAGCCACTAGCTTGAGGCCCTATGTTCCACTGGGAACGTGAAGGAAAAAAAATCAACTAGTAAACAATCCTTTTCGATAAACTTTCAATGTCTGGGTTGGTTCTTTATAGTATTTATGACTACACCAATTATTACCTAACGATAAAAAGCAAGCCAGATACGTTGTCCTCTCCATCTACGGGAAAAGTTAATACTAAATTCATCCAGAAATCGTGTTTCAACTCAACCTATAGTGATCTACAACTAATAAATTCTTTAGTATGAATGAACCATGAATTCTAATTACCTCTAGATAGGCTATATGAAACCAATCTCAGTCAAACATTCCCTAAGTTCATTATTCCACTTTAAATACCAGAAACTAGACACGTGGAATTTAATTGACACACTTCTGGAAAACTTCAACAAGTTTATATATGAGATACAACTTCTCAATGTTTAGTCCCGAACTGAACGGAACATGAATATCAATTATCCAACTTTGACTAGATATTCACTAAGACTGAATCTAAACTCAGCAAACATACGGGTATTGACGGTTTAGTTAGAGAAGAATGAGACGCTTCTCACAACAAATAAGCCACCGATATCTTCCGTAAGCAATAGTACTTAGAATATTACTAATCCAAAAACGACTTAGGAGTAGGACGAAATACTCATCCTGGATTCCACTTTTAGTCACCAACTACCAATTAAATATGTGAGGTCATCTACTGTTATCATGATTCATGTAGAAAAGTGTAAGTTACCTGGTTCAATTTTCTTGGGATGCTAATCATTGACATGGATGGAAATCGTTCACAGATGTATTCACTTTTAATCATTTTCGTTAAGTTACCACCTCCTCGCCGCCATTCTATTCTTTTCATGAAATTAGTAAGTCGAGTAAAGGAAACTATTATTTAATGAGAACGTTCACAAGACTTATTCACAATGAAGTAAAGTTTTCACCTGTCCTCGTGTAGGAATGTTGGAATTCGGTTGTAAAAAGAGACTAGTTACCAGTTATCGTATGCTGAAGGCCGTTATTTAAGTAGTAGAGTGGCTTCAATACACTCCATATTTATAAACACAAAGATTTCTATATATGAAGGATTTTATCTGGTCGCTTTAACACTGACTTAGTAAAACGAGAGGCGACATAAAGACTTTATGCACCAGAACTTCGAAGATATTAAGAGAAGGAATATTTCATATTGACGTTATATGCAAGATAATAATAATCATAAGATAGATTCAACCTACCATAAAGCAATTTCATGATGAAGAATGTTCTTGTTCACTTTAAATCTGGAATAGGAGTAAAATGGCCTTTATGAAAACGACTCTTTCAGATGGTTATTGGAGATTAGCTATGAAACCGTGAGGCCTGTAAGAGAAATAACTACCTGAACATATTGAGTAGTAGAATAGTGCTGTAACTATTTCCTCTACAGTGGTGATACATTAAGACAGGCATTAAAATCAATAAAATAAACACATTTTGCATAGCTGTAAGCCTCAATGTTATAGTAAAATTGACATCGAAAATACTACACTTTGGTCTTGTCACACTAACCTTAAGGTATTAGAAATCAAGAAAAGAAATATCACTACCGAGATACAAATTAAATCATCTAGGGTGCTTAACTCGTAGATAATGCTACTGGCTGGTAGAAAAATAAGCGACAGCCTTCACAAATTTCAATACATATACACATGACTTTAGTAAATCATCCACATGTATTATGTGTATTTGCGTTGAGACGTTGGTTTTGTATTATACTGAATGACAACTTAAGCACTTTGGTACATTCAGCACTCTAACTTTGTGCTTGTAACTGGCGGTAAATGAGGCTTAAAATTGTAGATCAGCGTGAGCCACAATGAACCAGAATGAATCGCAGTCATTGTATGGCATCGGGAATTTCGGCGCTTGACTACGTGATCGTTAGCCAACACTTTAGTTCCGATGGAATACAGCTGCATTAGTTTCACAGATTTTCAATCATATCACAGACTCACTTTCATCGTTGTGCAGTTATGTGGTGAGCGCAGGCTGCTAGCCGATTGGTACACATCAATCTACGTCAATGTCTAGGTCACTAATATTGGCCGTGATAAAATATGAACAAGGCTGATTCAACAACCAATCACAGCAGGCATAACGTGGGAAATATCATTCGCAGATGGATGGCTCCATTTTCCGAGGTTTCCCAAAACAACCAATCAGAAGCCTGAGCTTGTTTGCTTAACTTCCGAGAAACAACCAATCAGAAGACCGCGTTTCTCTACTTGAATAAGCTATAATAATGTACATGAAATATATATAAATACGTGTTGATTTCCGTAATAAAACGATCTGTTGCCGGCCCTTGTCTTCTGTTGTTACAGTTAGCCTAAATGTCACATTAACTACAGATTAACACATTTGTACATTATTTACTGTATCACTTTCCCAAACAAATATTTCAACACAAATCCACATTCAAAAGCGTTGAACAAAAACTGGAAAGAAGGAATTGTCACTCAACAACCACTTGCATTTACATACAACTGGTATGTACCACACCTCCTGAGTGAGAGCGAGTGACGCTACTTGGTTGTCCAAAACTCGGTAGGTGAAGCAGGTTTCAAGCCCACGACTCAGTGGTTGGAAGGTGATAGCCTAAACTGAACGATCATGTTAAACAAGTGGTAGAATTAAATTCAAGAAAAGATGATAAGTGAATACAACTGATATAATATCACTGTTGAAGTAAACTTCCACTACTTTATACTCCATTAAATCTCCTTCACCTGTATCCACATTTACATCAATCAAGCTTACTTTTCAATGCCATCAAACTTAGCCTCCAATGTCGGACGATTACTGTCTGTGTTCACCCCACACTATAAAAGTGTATGAAAGGAAAAGATGAATAGAAGGAATTCAGAAGTATGAAACATTAAATACAAAACGAAGACCTGAGAAAAAATACATCAATCTGGTACATTTTACTTGATAAAGAATGAGAGTGCAGTTCAGATGGATGAGGTCTACATCAAATGGATGAGCTAGTACCAAAGTAGGCAAGTTTATTGAACAAAGTAATCACTGAACATCTCTGGAGAACTGTGTCAATCCTGATGGACTGATAAAAACACACATAAAATTGCTTTGGTTCCTTCTAAAGCTTGTGTCACCTAAAATACAGTTGAGTTATTTAGGGGTTAGGTACACTGCACCATACTTTCACTACACCATTGCTCGTGTACAGTTGAGCGTGATGTGAGCAAATCGTAGGTTAGGTAAGAAGTTTTGAGTCGAAATGTATGTCAGCTGATGAGCAAAACATTATCGAATGAGGTAGGTGAGATATACTTTATACAAGCGTACAATAATATGTGATAACATCCGACGTACGTCAAGGTTGGAAGAAAGTGAACGGTAACCGCACTCCAGACAAAACACCCTTATGAGTAGTCATCAAATGATGATTGACGTTATTAGGAAAAGCAGTGATTGCTTGGAGTTCGTGAAGTCACGAAAATGATTACCTAGGAGTTAACGATATGTGGCTCAGGAACGGCGACGCTGAGGCAAAGGCACCAATACTTTATCTCAGAGTTCTACGTCTTTTTGTGTGCTTTTTATCTTTGTCTTACTGTGTGAGAAATGAAAACGAGCATGATCTATTCGGAAGTTGTAGTGGTAGAAATATAAAAAGGGGAAAAGAGGAAGTAGACGGGGATGAAAAGTCTCGGACTAAAGTGACTATGTGGTCACATGGACCCCAGTCGTTTAATCTACACTTCCCCACACACCTGAGACCAAAATTCGATGACTTCGCGGATTTGTACTTTCATTTATTCTGAAAGCCTCTCGCTCTCTTTCAAACTAACCTCACCTCATTAAACGATGCCCTTCTTTAACAAGGTAGTGAGTGACTCAGTACACGTAAGTATGTCCAAAACACGTTAGGTGACTGATGTTTATATCTTCCTTGACTAAATTACGACAAAAGTTGTTTGTCAGTATCCTCTTTACTGAGTACTGATGATGACAGCTAGTTGGACAACATGAAAGCTACTTAAATGGAGGATTGCATCGTAAGACTCGGTTGCTTGGAAATTAAGCTGTTGAATAGCTGAGGTAAACACGTTAGTAAACATCAAGATTAAAGACAATGTAGTGAACTGGCATTGTTTTTAAATGTGCGAAACACCAACTAAGCTAAACTGGATGACTCACTAGTGTTAATAAAATGGTGGCTTTCCATTGACTCAAACGTGAGGCGATCTGAAATTGAAGATATATATACATATATATAGGCATGTACAACAAAATTGAAGTACTATGCATAGTAGTCCACTTACTCTGATAGAAAAAGAAGTCAAAGAATACAACAGACATCGACATTGGGAAATTTAACTCACGCTGATGATGCCAGTAACTATGAATCCAGCGATTTATAAGGAGAAATGGTGACGTTACTCCACACACACATATTACCTCTTCCTGGGAAAACTTTGTTGCAACGATAAGAACCCTCTGGTGCACAGTTCAATTTAGAAGACAGGAGTATTAGGTGTACCTATCCTAAAGATGAGACGTGAATTATACTGATAGTTGTCTATGTTACAGTTATACATGCATTGTGAACGCATGATCACCTCAATCTCCGATATATAGTTGAAGATTCATCCAACATCTATGCATGTTAATAGGTCGACTGACTTCTGCCAACGTACAGCATTCCGTATAGTGTTAAAGTATCTAATCACCCTCCCGGTCGATAACTGCTACCTTCCCGTGGTGGTCGGGCTTGAATACCGCAATGATCCAACAAGCTTAACTGACTGGGACTCTGTCCCTGCAGGTCCTACCGTGTCAGGAAGGTTTTCTGGACAGCGGTTAAACTAAAAGCAGTTACCATGGGGTACATGGGCTCCAGTATCCAATCGAATCGAATGGCGTATGAACCCATATGGGCCACCGGAAACCATGGGAATGCAGCTCCTGACGCTGCTCCGCTGTCTTGGGGATTAGACTCCAAGACAAAGGCTCGGGGGGTGGTCCCTTAATAAAACCACCTGCTTCGGTCTGGGCGCCCGGGCAGTATCTCAGCCCTCGCACAATGAATGATATAAAGCAATAAACTCTCACTGAAACTCATCTCGCGCTATTAACAATGATTTCAAGTAACATTGATGCCTCAAGTAACTTATGTCTTTCCTACCTTACTTTTATTTTCATACATAGTTTCCTGTATTTTACCTTTGCTAACCTTGACTTCTTAAGCTTCGACAGCCTTTCGACTTTGTCGAGATTCCCAGCCTATCCGTGTCGTTTCGAGAAGTTAGTGAGTAGTCCTCAAAATGGTTGTTCCCAATGTGACATCTAACGCAGATATCCTGAAACCGAATGTCGCGTTCAAGCTGGCCACCTACAACGTTCGGACGCTGATGCAAATGGGAGAACAGGTAGGGTTGGTAAGAAATTTGGAAAGCCCCGCTATCGATGTCTGCTGCATTTCGGAGACTCGCATTCAAGATCCCAGTGAAGTGCTTCGACTGTCCTCTCCATCTGGAAGTTCTAGTAGTATGTACCACCTGCGCTTATCCGGGGACCCTGTGGCGTCGGCATCCGGCGTAGCTGGTGTCGGTGTTGCACTGAGCGCTAGAGCCGAAGCTGCATTGCTCGACTGGATTCCCATTAACAGTCGTTTATGTGCTGTGAGGCTGAAAGGTTATACGAAAGTAAGGAGTAGTAGGCCAGATAGGTGGTGTCTATTTGTTGTCTCTGCCTTTGCACCGACGGATTGCAGCCCGGATGCAATGAAGGATGAGTTCTACTACCAACTCAGCGATCTCTTGAAACAGGCGGGTCGGAGGGATATCGTAGTGCTGGCTGGGGACTTGAATACACAGATCGGGCGTCTAAGCTCAGAGGAGAATCGTCTAGGTGGTCAGTGGGGACTACATGGTCGCAGGTCAGATAATGGGGACCGTCTTCTGCAGCTTTGCGCGGATCACAACCTATTTCTAGCCGGCACCAACTTCCAGCACAACCATCGCCGTAGAGCTACCTGGGGACCTCTCTCTACGAAGCGACCTTGGACTCAGATTGATCGTATTGCTGTCAGTTTCCAGTGGCGAGGATGCATACAAGATTGTCACTCCTTCTGGAGCACATGGCTGGACTCCGATCATGCGTTAGTGTGTGCCAAGTTCGTCTTGCGATTTGGTGGGGTTCATAAAAGCCTTCGTCTAAACGTTGATGTGAGCAAACTAGTAGTACCTGCTACTTCTTTGAAATATCAGAATGAGTTAAAAACAATGCTTGCCAGCAACCCCCCAAGTAGTATAGTGAACATAGGCTTCATCTGCAAGGTGCCATGCAAAAGGCGAGTGTAGCCGCTTGCGGCTTGAAAGAATGCTCCGCTAAAAGCCACTGGGTATGTATGGGAGACAGAGAGTGTACCATCAATGTGGAACGAAGCCATTATCGTCCCCTACTCTGAAAATGGTCGACGTAATTCGTGTTACAATCATAGGGGTATCAGTCTGCTACCAGTCGCGGCTAAAATATTGGCTGTTGTCTTGCTTCGCAGGTTGTGCAAAATACGTGAAGGATTGATTCGCGAAGAGCAGGCTGGGTTTCGTTCAGGTCTTGGATGCATTCATCATGTGTTCACCCTCCGTCAGTTGTCGGAACACCGCCTCATGTATTGTAGGCCAACGATCGTTGTGTTTCTTGATATTAGGGCTACCTTCGATTCGTTGGACAGAACTGTGCTCTGGAACTGTCTGTTAGAGAGAAGTGTACCTGAGAAATTTGTTAACACCTTGAAAGCCTTAAACAGAAACACCGCGGGTAGAGTGAGGGCATACAACCAACTATCATCACTGTTCCCAACCAACAGTGAGGTTAGACAGGGTTGTCCAATCTCTCCATTTCTCTTTAACTTTGCCATCGATGACATTCCGGAGTCAGCTCTGAAGGATGTACGTGAAGGTGGTGTAGATCTGCCACCTGGAGATAGACTTTTCGACCGCAAGTATGCAGACGATATCGTCTTACTGTGAGATAGCATGCAGGCTGCCCAAATCGCACTTAATCAGTTGGCGATCAGTGTCTGTAACTATGGTATGGTATGTGCTTTGGGCCGTCTAAGTGCAAAGTACTGTCACAAGATTGTCAGGAGCCTGTACCTGCACTCACTCTTGCGGGTGAACCGCTTGAAGTTGTTGATAAGTTTGTGTACCTGGGTAGTTGTGTGAGTGCTGGCGGGGGGTGACGAATGAGATTTCCAACCGTATAATGAAGGCTAGGGTGGCATACATCAACTCGAGCCACCTATGGTGCCATCGCGACGTTAGCTTGACTGTCAAAGGTCGGGTATACAATGCTTCACTGCGGGCTGCCCTGCTCTACGCCTGTGAAACCTGGCCTCTCCGAGCTGAGGATGTGCGGCGACTCTGCGTGTTCGATCACCGCTGTCTCCGCAGGATTGCTTGCGTTCGATGGCATCATCGCGTGAGTAATTCTGAGGTTCGGCGGCGTGTTTGAACACAGTGGAGATCACCATTCATTGAGTGTCGTCATCTGGAAACATCGGCTCCGGTGGCTTGGACATGTGCTGCAAATGTCATCCCAGAGGCTTCCGTATAGGTCTCTGTTCGTTAGCCCTGGGACGGGATGGAAAAGGCGGAGAGGTGGTCAGTCCATGACGTGGTGTCGTGGGATGAAGGATTTTTGTGCTAGATTAGCATCGGTTGGTGTGTTACGACTCCCTGGTCGGGGTCCGAGAGATAGCTCAAATCGATGGCTCGAAACGTTATCGGATATGGCCAAGAATCTCTTCCCGATGACAGTTAACGAATACTGTTTGAACTTGTTAAGCATGACTGTCTTCCTTCCAGGTGAAGTTCTTTATCCGTTCTCTACTTATATTTTTTCTTTCCCTTCTTTTTTTCTCTTGATCTATGTTGTTTTATTATTATCGTGTGGCGCATCCTTCTTGGTGCCATATTGTACCAAGTTTTTTATGCGTTTAAATAAAAATAAAATAAATAAAAATCTAATCACCCTTCAGGAAACGTGTACATCATCGAGTAATCTTCCCTCAACTATGAGAATGTGGTATGCATTCAGTAAGAAAAAAGAAACATGAAGCATGTTATTACTTTATTGTCTCGAAAATGTTGACTGCATGAAGCAGATAACGTATTTACACGGAATTAAAAATGTGGGGTACAAGTTTTAGTTCTGAGACGAGTAGTTGTGTCAGCTTATGAAGGTATGAATCTACATAAGTGTGGACTAGTGTTAAGTCTATCATCTGATCCCAAATTTACCAATCACTGACGTATATTAGTCTGCATAAAGTATAAAACAGGTAGTTTTCTGTCTACCCTGCTCCTGAATACGGAAATCTAATGATGGTAACATAATTCTGAGAAATTCTGCTGCCACTCGACTTATTTGGCTAGTTTGTTTCAGGAAGATTTAAATGATGAATCCTCAGCTTCTACATAGTTAACAGAAAAAACGATGAGTGTTCGTTCCGTACAAATTTAAGATTATTCATCTGCATGTAACAATGAATTCATACGGTAAAGGTTTTGTGAGAAGCACGCTGCTATTCATTTAGCAGGGTGGAGCTCAACGAATCGTGATTCGTAAGTGCAAGAGAGTAGTTTACAGACATCTGTGATTTTACAATTACCTCGCCAGTGTAATATGTTTCATCAACGCCATATTTTCTTGAAAATTGTTCAGGAGTCGCCAATTCACCATAATATATGGCATTTTGTTCTGATATTCTGGGGATAAATAGAGCGGAACGTCCAGATGCAACTTCAACCGTCCCATAGCAATCGGGTTCAAGACCACCAAATGCCCAATGAAAAAATGATTCCTTTTCAAACAGAATGCGAAGAAAACTGTCGAAAATCATTTCAATGATCAAAAGGCTCAGTCTAACATGGATAATTGCATAACAAACTGGTAAGAGAAATAAGAATAACAAATGTGGTGTATAGGAGAAACGTCTTTGTAAAACAAAGATTTCACTTCAAGACTGTGGAGATTTAGAACAGAGAAACATAAATTTACCTCTTTTGAAAAACCCAAAATGTGTATAATGCGGGGAAACATTTGGTTAAAATTTAACTCTAGGTGACATACTTCACAATTGATCGCAGCGTCACAGATGATTGCTTGCCTCACTTGAATCATCTGATAGATTGTCTGACGACTTGTTACAGTAAAACGTTGTACACAGATGCATCAGAAATTCGTACGGAAGTCTGTAACTAATTCGATAACTTAACCAATTGCATGAAGATTGATTAGGATTGAATGAATCTGGGAAACCACTAGGTATAAATGTGTCTGCACCATTCAGAACGACTTGGAGCCACATTACAAGCAATCCACAATCACTGGGGCCCAGTCAAGCAGACTACACCTTCCTACATGACATAAACCTACAGTAAAAGACTTCATGGGTTGGTTCAGTGTTTTACTCTGACTACACTGACTTGATTTCCAATCCACTCGTATCCCAGTTAGGATTGCTCATTGAGGGAGGCGATGGCTTAAGAACAAGAACTACATTTTGTAACCGCATCAGTCAATGATATCGACTGACTTCCTGTATTCACTTAACACTCTACATTTAACTACAGTATTACTAACCCCATTACACCATAAAACACTGACTTCAACGGTCGTGTCTCACAACTGTAGGGGACGTGGCAAACTAATGAGCAATGCACGCACACACTGATCAATAACTGAACATGACGTTTAAGCCAGAGTTGATGCAATTTGGCAAATGACACATGAGCATTTTGTATCCGTGCTTCGATTTTATCAAAAACCAGTCAATCAGGAATCATGCAAATTCGCAACTAAATGAAGTGGTCGACATGCTAAACCACTTCACTCCGTAACCTGAAACTAGGAGTCAGTACATATCAGGCCTGCAGCAACATCTTACACTTAACAGGGTGAATCGCACCCGAAACATCCTAGGACATTTATTTCCCACTGTTCAGGAGACTGAGTTTTTTCAGCGTCTCCAACTAATGCAACTGCATTATCTGCATAGCCTAAATCTACACTTCTCATACGATTTTACATGACCACGTAAGTTCGGGTATAGTTCTTTGATTGTGAAAATATACTTACTTAGTAGCCTTTATACAGTCAAACAGTGACACAGAACCTCTTGAGTTTAATGCCTCCTCTAGACTTAGAAATATAACAAGTATTGGACACCGGTAAGTATACCTATGTGCTAGAATCAGTCAAAGGGTGAAGGTAAGATCAATATATCCTCTTCCAAGCCTAAAATCTGCGTGGTCTTCACAGGTTCGTTTCTCTCAATCTCCATTTAGTCTACGCATGTCTAATAAACCTTGTACTTTACGTAATACGTTAGTCAAGCTGGCTTCCTATGATTATTATGAGAAGACTTGTCTCTTTTTTTATAATCTGGGATAATCAGTGATTTACACTGGTGTAACGGAAATATCTCTAATTCCAAGACACTATCAAATATTTTATTTGTAGACTTGTAGGTAATTTTGTGTTCCGCTAAACTGAATAAGGGTGTGGATTAGACTAATGAACCCTCTGGTCCAGTAGTTACCACAGAGACATTCAATTCTTTTTTACACCACACAGATTGGACAATATTAAATCCCCATTCAATAACTATTATATTAGTATGGTTGACAATTTCTTACCATCACTTCTAAATACCTCTAGTCATACTATCACGTCCCACTGTTCCCCAGCTTTACACCTGTACGGTTTTTACCGGTTCGTTCCTTCCTAATTAATTATGAAGATCGTTTACAACACCGTGGATTAGTCCGATCGTGTAGATGAACACGATGTTTCATATCCGATCTCAGTGAGGTGAATAATTAAAAGCCCAACTGCAATTGAGTAAATATTGTTGTCATAATACATGCAAATTCAAAGATAGTAAGACAATTTCAAGAAGCCTGTTACTAGAACTAGCTCTCAATCATAGCCATGTGAACAGAAACACAATCTGCAGCCTACTTAGATAGAAAATCAATCATTTCCCCACTTAATGGAAGAATTCAGCCAGGTGCATCAGCAAAGAAGCCTTACTCACATACTACCCAGGAGAATTAATCTCGTGTCACACGACAATATATAAGGTGAAAATGATACAAAATAAAACTCTTTTCTCTCATTACAATCGGACAAGAAAAAGGAAACCTAAATATTCACCTAACATTCTGAATACGCCTTTATTCCCAATGAGTATAGTAATGAAGATGTTGTTGAGCCTGATGATAAAACATCTACGACCGAATATCAAAGCTCAGAGAACAGTACACAATTTCAGTCGTCATCTTGAGCTACAAATTTTCTCCACTAAAACCATATTTCTTAATTTGCTCACTGATTATTTCCTCTGTTGAAAAGCATTTACGAGGGTAAACCGAACAGCTTTTATTCCATGCTTTCTATTCACCTTCTACTTTGCATGTGAAAGTCTGTTGTCGTAGATTGGATCATCACGTAGTACTGATAGGTCTTGTAGCCACATCTGTCTGTCTGCTTTGAAACTCTCAACGTAGTTTGAAAGTTGTCAGAAGTTATTCAGTCTCGGTAAATCAGTGATTGTGATCTCGTGGGGAGTTTGCTTCACAACTGCTCTGACTACATAACACACAGCCCTACTCACATCCAACTATTGAAACCTGTGGTTTTTCAATCTGGAATAATGATATTAGAGTAAATATTCCACATAGGAGTGTAGAAATGAAAAACACTTGAATTGATTTTTTAACACTAGGATACATATCTAGAGGATGAGAAACCTACCTGTCGGAACACGTTGGCGGAATCAGATTCCCCCAAATAAGTATCCGTACCGCCTTGGAGTACAATATATACGCCTGAAAAATCTGATGATAATCCTTCCGTAACAGTATTCAATAGCTTGTTTCGGATACGATCACAAAGACGCTTCCGATTGGTGGCGTGTAACTCCATTGGTATGGTGAGACATTTGCCTAACTGAAATATGGGAGCTGTTCTACCCGCAGCACCTGGAAACATCTTTAAAGGATAATAATTAATTAAAACATGCTACTGGCACAAAGAAGAAAGGGAAAAAACTGGAATTTTTTCATTAGAACATTTATTTGAAAGGAATAAACGAAAGGAATCTTAACCAGTTTTGAGCATATCTGAAAGGTCAGAAGAATCATACTTTAAACGCATACGGTATATATGACTCATGAGTGCTGATCTAGCAAAAAGTAAAAAATAATTAGTAATGCATTTGACGAATATGAAAGATACCTATCACTTTGGTCGGATATTCCTAGTCTCAGCAGCCACTCGTCCGTCATTAGGCGCAAACACATACCTTAGAAATAAAATCAGCAAATCACTGGGTTGCTTACCATTAATCTTGTTTGCTTCAAATAGATCCGAATACTTAGGACCAACTGGGCTGGCATACTTATGCAACCATTTGACAACATCTTCAGGTGTCCAGTTCAATACATGTCTATTTTTCTTTTGCTAGAATCAAAGGTGACAGTGGGTAAATTTCCATACAGTCATGGTAAGTTGCAAGTTTCCCTGATATGATAATCGAGAACAAAATCAATCACAGTGCCTCACTTGGGCAAAGCATTAATGTTTTCATCTAAAATAGAATCGAATAATGAACTATAAATATAATACAGAAACGTATCAACATGTTGTAAGGCTGTAAGAAACATATTAAAATGGCCAATTCAGCACCATCATCAATGAGACAAGCAATTTAATTTTTCACTGTAATATGAGCTTTTCAGCAGCGGAAATCACGAAATGTACCATCACTTTTGAACAGCAAAATTGTTACTTTCACTCCCATACTAACTTCTCCTGGCCTAGCGATATATAAAGAGAATTGTTTCGGAAGATACCAGGTACTTGTTATAGTGATTCATATCATCTACCTCCAAATAAAAGCAGACTATGAAAAATCTGTAATTGATTGTTGACCGCATAATGCACAACTAGTGATTGTCTTTGTACTGTAAACCACAGTCAACAATTACGCACATCCTTGTGAGATTTAAATTAAAGCACTAATCACCACAAACTAATTTCACTTCACAGACTCTGACTCTTGTCGTACTCAGTCTTCAAACAATACTCTACGACGGGGTATTAGTTTACATAGGATCACATCAAAACTTGTCCTTAGTCTATTAAGTATTTGATTGTTGGTCTGAATCACATGTGGACTAGCTGGCTCGGCTCCTCATGGTTATAAGAATCAATGGCTCAAAACCATCCACCTAGGCGAAATCACTGGCTGGAGATGCAAAATATGTGCAGGATATCTACTTTCCTGCTATTTGGTTCCTAGAATTAAGCTCCGATCCTACTAAAATGCAGGCAGTCTACACTTTCCCAAACGCCTCAGATAAATAGCTGGTGACCTCATAGATTTCTGTTGGCATTTATTCTTAAAACGTCTAACTTCCCTTGATCCTCATCCTACTTCAACAGATAAATCTTTTTCGAAAGTCATATGTAACGTTGAACGTCTATGATTTTCTCGAATAAGTTGCCCATATCACCTAGAACTCTGCATCTAACGTACGCTTTACGCTTGATTTTATCATAAGCAAGCAGTATTACAAGGGTAGTGCTTTTGAAGTGCGTTCCATTTTAAAACTCAGTCAGTCATTCAATGTTTAGTTTTCCTCTCATAAGCTACTATGCTAAATTGGTTGGAACAAACGGTGTTATGAACTTTCGAAACCATCATATAAACTGTATATGAAATTCCAAAACATACTTGCATTACTATAATGTCATCAAAAGACAGGTGCTTGAATTGAATGACTGACTGGTTTCAACGTAGAACTTTGCAGAGGTGTTCAACAGTTCCAGGTGCCACATTCCACGTAGCACACAAACCAAGAGAAGAGAGTAAAGAGAAGTTCGAAAGAGATATTAAACAGAAATAAGAAGCAAGAAGAATAGCAATATGGAAGGACAACAGAATTTTATTGGGTGTTATAAAACCACTTATATACCTTTCATTCTAGTCTAGCTCCCCTACCTAGGCATTAAATTCGCCTGCTAAAATAACTATATCTAGGCGTTTTGCTTATCGTAGCAAATTGGACAGTGGTATAAATCATCCTTTAGTTCATCCGAACTGCAGTCGGTTAGGGAGTAAGCGGAGACTATAAAAGGCCAACGACGGGTAACGCTGTCCTTCCTTCTTCTAACGGACCTGTTCAGCCGGACCGCACACATACGACTGTCTACTGGGATTCAGTCAAGAAGTGATTTTTCTGCTCTAACACTCAAAGCTATTCCTACATCTGCGAGTCCTCGAGAACTGGCTGAGGTATCTCGTGACACCCTTGAGGTGAATTTTGCATATTCATCTTGTTGGCCAGGTGAGATTAGGTGAATGACTACATTCGGGTCTTGTATGCGTGTCTCCGAAACATAACATACGTGCATGCTTCGAGATGCCAGAGTTCTGGCTAGTGATGCCTGTTGTCCTGACGTTGAAAGCTCCTATATGAATTTGGAGACATGGCTTTAAGAGGCTGTTGGGGGTGTTTTACTGGCTTTCATCGATTTTTGTGGTCACAGAGTGAATTGCAGATGGCTCACTTGCTCGAAGAATAGTAGTAACAGTAAGAGGAAGACAAGATGATATGCGTGACAAGGGTAAAGGAGGACGATGATTGAGAGGGCTTCGTGTGATTTTGAAAGTGTATGGGCGGTTGTTACTTTCCGACTGCCCACACTGCGTAAGTTGATTTACTCCTGGGGTACCTGAAATAGTAATAGAATTAGTTTTGGGTGACTGTGGAGCCCAGGGGACAACTTCTTGAAGCCATTCACAGCCTGTGTGAACTGGCTTCTTGGATTGTTCCGTATTAGTAACTTACTGCCGGTTACGGATCACCGTAGGATAAGTCGGGAAGTAAAATATTCAGGGTCGACCTTTTCTAACAGCAATCTGTAGAGCAAGAGCAACATAGCTGGCATACTGGTAATCTGAGGGAAACATTTTATTGCTGTTACACCCTTATTCACCAGCAGTACATGTTGTTTCACTGACCCCCGGCGTAGTGCAAAAAATTCTTACACCATGCCCGTAATTGCTTTTAGGCTAATTGCTATCCTAACAATCTTTCTGGCATGGTAAGACCTGCAGGAACAATAGTTCCAGCCAGTGTAGCTTGTTGGGTCATTGCGATATGCAAGCCCAACCACTACGTCAAGGTAGCAGCAATCGGTCGGGAGTGATAAAAGCAATGACAGCTTTACCATTTCATTTATTAATACAATGTCTTCAGCAATTATTTCGTATAAATGAACATTTCCACTCTCCATAGTTTTGCTTTGTCCTTTGACAGTCTATTATGCTCTTTAAAAATACACAATGAAAGAATCCTTAGCCAAACTGCCTGCATGTATACGCGACCAATGCTCTGTGTTCTAACGACAAATTGAATTGTCGGAAATCATCGTTTATTAGTGACAATAGAAGATATACGTGGAAACTTGAGTGGAATAATTCATAGTAAATAACCAGTGTCCAACTATTTAAACCTTGGGAAACGAAGAGAGAACGTATCTCAAAGAATCTTATGAGCATCTACACAAACATGCTTGGAGAAATCAAACTAAGCGACATACATCATATAGTTTGCTGATTAATACAAGAATGAACCAAGCTAAAAGAAGTGTAAATTCCATTGTCATTATTTCAAATGCTAATCAATCTCACTTTAAAAATCTGGTGGAATAAACTACTGTCGGTCGACATTTACCTCCCTAACTTTTTTCTAGTACATTTTACATTTATAAATCAAGATAGGAATCAACATTATGAGAGAGAGAGCGATACAATAATACCAATAAACAAAATGGACATATCAAACTACTGCAGATCATAGTTTGTAAACGTTCATGTTGCATTTGGTTCAAATTGCTCCAATAAGCGCCCAGGTTTATAGAAAACCAACACGAAATACACTATCCGTTTTCAACAACTGAACTGCTACATTCAATCCCATACTTACTTCTCCTGGTCTGCCTGTCTGTCTGCTTTCGATGTAGAACTTTGCACAAATGTGCGGAAGTTCAAGTCGCCACACTCCATGTAGCACACAAAGCAAGAGAAGAAAGTACAAGAAAAGCATAATAGAGACAGTGAGCAGAGGTGTGAGACAAAGGAAGAGTATTAACGAAGAACAAAACAGTTTCATTGGAAATCATAAGTCACAAGGAGTGGATGCATCTGCGCCACTGAGGACGATTTTGAGCCATGTGACCAATTGTTTCCAACCATAGATTTTTACCGTCCCGAGGACCCCAGCCTGGAAGTCTACACCTTCCTACGTGGCTGGCTTAAAAACTAACTGTTGTGGATTTCATTGACTGGTGCCAAGTTTTCGTTTGACCGCCACTAGCTTTTTTCCAGCCTGACCCTATATCCGCTAACATTGCTCGTCGAGGGAGGCGATGACTTGGCATACGTAACACATGTCCTAACCATCTCAGTCTTTGTAACTTCACGACTTCGTCGATTGATTTCCCCTGTTTACCTAGAACTCTACGCCTAACTTCAATGTTGCTCACCTTATTATGCCACTTTACACGGGAAATAGAGCGCAGGCACCTATGATCAAAGACAGCTAGTCTTTTCATGTCTTCCACTCTCAGTGGCCAGGTCTCACAACCATAAAGGAGGACGGAGCGGGCTGATGGGCAGTACACCCTCCCTTTGGTCGATAGTCGAACATCTCGTCTACACCAGAGTCGGCGTAAACTGGCAAATGCGAAACGAGCCCCCTGTATTCGTGCTGAGATTTCGTCAGAGATCAACCCGTTGGCACTGGCTGATGGTACTTCCCAAATAAGTGAAGCGGTCAACGCGCTCTACCACTTCACTTCCTATTTTTAAACTGGGCGTCGATGTAGTCCAGTCCTGTAACATCATCTTGCATTTGGCGGGAGCGAGTCGCATGCCAAACATTCGTAGATTGCGGCTCAAGGTGTTTAGAAGATTCTGCATTTTGTCAGCGTCTTCGTCTAGAAGGACTATATCGTCTGCATATTCCAAGTCAACGAGATTATTCCCTGGTAGCAAGTCAATCCCTGAGTCGCTGAAGTCACTTAGGGTTAAGTCCATTAACACATCTACGATGAAGTTGAATAGAAAAGGGGATAATGGGCATCCTTGACGGACACCACTAGTCGTCACCGGTTCCGATGACAACTCGCCGTAAGCCCTCACCTGGCTGTATGAGTACGAGTAGAGTGCCTTAATCAGTGCAATATATTTTCTCGGAATTCCCTTTACAGCCAATCATCTCCAGAGAACATCTCGATCGACAGAATCGAATTCCGCTTTTAGGTCAAGAAATATAATGACTGTTGGACGCCGGCAGGAATGACTGTGTTCTAGAATCTGTCGAGGGGTGGAGATATGATCAATACACCCTCTTCCCGGACTAAAGCTTGCCTGGCTCTCTCGTGTCTGAGACTCCCGAGCACCACTTAGTCTACTCAATGCAACATCATGATAAATACAAAATCACAAAATTTCATACCGGATCGGCCGTGGCCCGGATTAACAACGACCGCGCTTCCTGCTGCCGTGTCATAGGGCAG